AAAATGCCAAGGCTCACAGCTCAGAGGATTTTTCTCTTTCTTCCCGTCTTTTTCCTCTCTGCAGGGGCCTCATATGCGAGGTTACCAACACCACCGCAGGCTCAGCAGGATCTCTTGGTACTCACCATGCCAGCACCACAGGGGAGAAGAGTGGCTTGCTGAGTTCCACACTTTAGTACAAGCATCCAGGCGAACGCTGTGGGCTTGCCCCAGGAATGCCTTCTGACCACAGCCTTAGTCACTGGCACTAACAGGGAGCGAGAGAGAGAGAGGGAAGGAAAAAGGAAACAAAGTTATCAAGTCGGAAGAAATGAAGGTGTCACACACACTCTAACCAACTGAAAGGCTTTTTTCAAAGACTACTTTTGCAGCCTCTTGGATAAACACAACTGCACCATCTCGAGAGGCTTTTCAAGTTGTATTTGTAACATCACAGCACTGGAAATGTCAGAAGAGTTGAAACCTTCTAATGAGCGTTATCACCGCAGCACCCTCGGGCTATGGGTTATGAGGGCTTGTTTTTCTATGCTCCAATTCATATTACCTGAGACTTAATGCTGCAGCAGCAGGGAGGAAGACAAGATACGGACAGGATTGTTAGCTGCATGAGTGAGCATGTGGGTGCTGGAGGGGATACAGGCCTGTGCGAATACTCTATTTGGTGTGTGTGCTTACTGTACATCTGTAATCAAGTGGACTCATCAAGATAAGATGAAGCAGAAAGGGAGACATTGTGATACGTTTAATCCTTTGTGATGTGCCTGAATTATTCAAAGTATCAATCATCATACAACTTAATTGTACAACAGCGCCTACCGCCTAACACACACACACACACACACACACACACACACACACACACACACACACACACACACACACACACAAGAGATAATACCCCTATATTTTAAGTAAACTTTTTGGATGACACAGAACTGGGCCGGGCATGCTTAAACCCCAGCACACTCAGCAGTGGCTCTGCGCCACTTTGTCTCCACTAATCCCCTATGATCAACGCATATGTGAAGAAAAGGACAAGGCTCCTGGCGGCCTCTTTCAGACACACACATCATGTAGGTAGGTAAGTACAGAACAGGACCAGGGCGCTGGGGAAGTCCCATGAGCTCACTGTCTAGCCTGATAGTGCAGCAGCTACACCCACCTGCTCCAACTACCCAGGGAGTGTCTCCATTGTGGAGGTTCAGCCTATGTGTGTCATAAAAGACCAAATATTACGTGTTTAACAAGTCAAACACCAAACTTTAGATCCCATTCAACCCATGTCAGGCGCTTTAAACTCCACACAACTGACGATTGTGTTTAGGGGTCATTGTGACACTTTGATGAGTAAAAACTTTTAAATCGCCCACATGGCCTCTTTGCTAATACTCTGCCCTGAATAATTTCCTCTGAAGGGAACAAGACACAGCGATTTTCTTCTGAAAAACTGCAGCTGTGGACAAAACTGAGCACTCAGCCACGATGGTTCGACCATTGTTTAACCTTATAAGTAGTAGAGAAAAGAACTTCCTGTACAGGTAACTTCCTGTTTTGAAACAACACATGTGTCGCAGTGACACTCTCCTTCAGGTAGCTTCTCCTTTCCCCGTGGTTAGGGTTTAGATTAAAATATCGATGGAAGTAGAATAAATAATTGGCTAAGGTTATGGAGAAGGTTAGGGCACATATTGACAGGGGACATTGACATAAACCATTGTTTATCCTTATAAGTAGTAGAGAAAATAACTGTAAAAAATAACGGAGTAGGTCTGTAAAGAAAATAAGAAAAATCGTAAATGCTACAATTCCTATTTCTCCAAAAAGAAACCCATTTTATGAGACGTTTTTAAGAATCAACAGCTGAACTAAATTCAATTTAACTATTGAATGAATGACTGAGGATAAAGCAGACTTGTAAATATGACGTAAATACAATGAATATGGAGTTAAAGTCATTGCTTTGGCTTTTCTTTTTTATCGTGGCTTGTTTGGCAGTAAAAGAAACGCCAAAATTATTCCCTTTAACAATTTGAAGGGGAGAGCTACATTTGTTACGCTTTTCAAGTAACGGGACGAATACGATTACCATAACAGTTTATAATGAATAACCGAATTTAAAAACGTGCAAATCTACAACAAATAATCAGCTGTTATGACTTCATACATTAAAAAATTATACAAATGAGTGTGATAAAAGACTCACAAGACCATAGATAGAGAATCACATTTAAAAGATTTTAACTAAACTGTAGAATGTAAAATCACAGCGTCATGTGATGATAGTGCACTGATTTCCACTGTTCTAGTTTCACTTTCCACTATTTTTGGATCCCTTTGTGTTGTGATATGCAGAAGTAGGCTAGAGGTGTTTAAATTCATCAGTTTTCTCAATGTTAGCAGATGAATCTAAAGGCAGTCTTCTCATCAGCATGTGATGTGAGAATTGTCTTGAATGCACATTATTGAATGCTGCTCATCATATGAACTCTCTCATCACATGTGGGGAAATCTGGTTCCAGCATTTGTGTTTTTTTTCTACTATGGACAAATGAATCTAGACTGCCCTCTAGTGGTCGAGCTGTTTCTGTAGAACTGTGGATTTAAAAACTGGATACTGCAAACCTACAGTATATCAATGGACAAGGAATTTCTATAACTCGTAATATTACTCTTTGCCGTGCTTCATTTGGAGTGCGTTACAACATTTTGGACCAGACCGAATTATTTCAGGCCTGTCAACAGGTAGTATCATGCCATGCGTTCAGTGTATTGGCAATGGGCAACGACTTGAGCCCAATTATTTAAATACGCAATTGTTTACGTTTTTTAGGAAATTGGCAGTATAGAATACATGCCGAAGTGACAATTAGCTGTTTCTTGTTTAAATGCATCCATTGTTGTTCTAACAACCCTCACTGTAATACTTGTGATACTGATACTTACCATGTTGTAAATACATGCTGCTCATGCTCTTTCTGCATATCATATATTTATTGTTGCTATGTATATAAATATCAAAGCAAAAATCCGGCATATTTACATTTGAAGCATTATTTGTCATCAATGTGCATTGTCCCTGTTCAAATAAATGATGAAATGAAGAACCTGATGATTCTCAAAGGAGGCCTGGAGCGTCTTTTTATGGGGAGTTTATAGCAGTAATGATAGAATGTAGAAAGTCACCATGAAATATGTGTGTTCAGATTTGTGTAGGGTTATGAAACTGAATATATACCTTATGCAATCCATGAGCTGTGTTTCACATCCATTGCTGTTTATCCACAGCTGCTCGTGTTTATCAGCAGGCCAATTTAGTGGGCCAAATTACTACAGGTAACTTCCTGCTTTTAACCAACACGTGTGTTGCGTGACATTCTCCTTCAGGTAGTGTCTCCTTTCCCCGGTTAGGGTTCAGATTAGATTATCGATGGAAGTAGAATAAATAATTGGCTAAGGTTATGGAGAAGGTTAGGGCACATATTGACAGGGGAAAGAGTTCGATAGAGCAGCAGCACGCACCTGTCCCTCTCACCTCATGGTGGTCTTTCCCTCTGCGGCCCCCGTGTGACGACCTGGAATAATAAATCCTGCACCTCTCACTGCAGGATTAGAAACATTAACACGTAGCCAATGCTATTTGTAAAAGGCATTTAAACTAAAAAGTTCTACTCTACTTAATCAACCAGTTGTTAGCAGGTTGTTTGATATAATCAGGGTTGGTTCAGATTACTTTACAATGCAGTCAGTTACGAAGCACATTTGTGAGTAATGTACTTAATTAGATTTCAAGAATTTAATTTTTTTAAACTGAACATTAAAACAATCTAATATTGCACTTAATATAGATTTACCTCATACCAAAACAACTTATTTTCTTTATAATTACCTCCAAACATATTACAATAGAAATAAAAAGCATTTTGCACATAGCAGAATTTACATTTGCTTACCAAAACAGTATTGGTACACATTTAAGGGTTAGGCCTATTGTGTATTCTACAACATGTGGGATGCTGTTTTTTATGTGTGATTTTTTTTCCAGACGACTACATGGAGAACATTTCTGTTATTTTTTAGACACTTCCTAAAATGTCATCAAATAATCCTTGGCATTGTCACCATGATCTGCATGCACATTTGTATTAATGGCATTCAGGTTGATTAAAGTTACTTATTTTTTTTCTAATCTTATTATTTAATCCTGATAACATGTAATCCAATTCTACCCAACCCTGGCTATAATATATCACTTTTGCATCGTGTGTATTTAAGGCTTATGAGTAACTTTATTCCCTAATCTCAGATCCCATCATAACTTTTTTACACGTTGGTATGCAAAGTGATATCTGGTATGTTATTCAAAGCAGCTGATCTATGACATCAATGAGGGTAACAGTGAAAGTGACAGGAACTTCCACTGAGTCCTTGTCAGTCAGGTCTGCTGGCAGCGGGACAACAGAGCGCAGGTGGAAAGTGAAGATAGCTTGCAGGCCTCAGAGCAGCAGCACAAAGCAGGCTGTGTTGGTTCGATAGCACGCAACTGCTTCCTCTTCACAGTGAAAGAGATCCTTGCTAACTTAAACAAATACAAATCATACACACACATTTTTATTCTAGTTTAAGGTGTCTTCATAGTGTTTCATTCATCTTTATTGCAAAAATATGCTCATTGGAAAATATTGAAAACAGTATTCAAATCCCTTTTCACGTGGCTATTGTTAAAAGTTTCCTCTGGAAGTTCAGGTTTTATCTTCCTTAGCAAAACTGTATAAACAAAAAAATAAACAGATACATTTATGAAAATATTCTGTTTATAGATTATGCAAACTTAATCAAATACATGTTGGGAAGAAATCCAGGGTGTGGTTAAGACAACAAAGACTGTGCACTTGGCACTAAGACACCACACCTAAGTAAGTGTAGTAGCTTGAATGGCACCAACTAGAAAGATAAGAGCACTTCACTGTTGCACTGGCAAAATACTGGTATCATTTTGATGTGGCAGGCCTTCAACACTGTCCGAAAGGTCAATATTATGGTCCTATAATGGACAAAATGTGTTGATTCAAACACTTTTGCCGGTTTCTCTACACACTCCATAGTGCAGTTGTCTCATGATGTAAATACCTATTAAGAGTTGACTTTTAAATTGAGCTTAATTTTCACAGCAGTAGGTGACCTTAACACCGTGTTAGAGAATAGAGCAAATCTATTTATCTCTGAAAGACCTGCAGCAGTGATAAAATGATTTCCAGAGGTACTGCGTGCTTGTAAATGTGCCACCAAGAGCAGCAAAGGTGTTGCATAAGTCTAAACTTGGAGGCGGGAACAGGTTGTACCAGTTCTCTCTCTATCACATCAGATAAAAGGTGTTAAAGCTGAGCCAGAAAACATCTGTCTGTTTTGAGATTTCACATGACTTATGAGGGCCAATTCTTTACATGCCACCAGAGGAAAATGATATGTTAGAAATGTAAATAAAGTACATTTGTGACTTGAAGGCAATGAAAGGACAGTGTATGTTCAAAAAATATATAACATGCGCACCTAATAAAAGTTTTGGGGTCAACAATTGACACCACATAAATCCGCTGTGTAAAAAGCTCATACGTTTTTCCATGTGTGTCACTAAGCAACCACAAAAGCGGCGTGTTTCAAATTCTTATCACCTAGTGGCCGCCGGCCTATTGCGTGCTTTGAGTTACGCCAAGGTATGTTCTAGCTATACATGCTTTCTACTTTTTTTTATTCATTTAGTCAACACCCTTCAATTATAATGTAAAATCCTTTGCTTTGACACGCTGCACTGAGCCATACAGGGTCAATGCAGCTCATGTTAAACACACAAACACCTAAATATTAGCTAGTTCCTGTAGCCAACAAAGCAACAATCTGAAGAATTTTAGGAAGTGAAAGTGAAGAAAGGTGACATTTGAGAGTATCTAAAAAGGAGAACAAAGAGAGGAACTAACCTCTAACAGTGGTGTCACTGTAAAGAACAACATGTGACAGACATACACAAATGTTTATACATGTAGACTACAAAAACATATTACAATTTCAGATAACTCAATCCCTTTTTAAAATTAACAGTATTTTTAATTTACAAAACCACAGCTAAAGTAAGTCAGTGTGTATTAAAAAACGTCTTGATTGGCAGTTTTATGAGAAATAAAACACTGTACATAAGGCTGTCCAATAATAGTAGATGCAAGCGCGGCCAATGAATGCAAGACATGCGAGTCAGTCTCGTGCATGATGAAGTAAAAAGGAAAGAGCATAAATATGTGGTTAAGATGCTTCCCGAAAGTCTTTTCAATGCCTTTATCAATCATGTATGAATCTCTGGTGTGTTCCTTTAAATATATGATCTGAGGGATACCATGGCAGTTAGTAAGTAAGTGTGAAAATTGATTCCTCAGTCCCTGATCAGCCCCAGCTTCTTCAGAGCGTCACGGCGGTCTTCTTCGTTTTCTGACCTCGGGCAGATCAGCACGCTGATGCCTTGCGATCGAGGAAGCTTCTGAGAGCTTCCGGTGTGCTGAAAGGCATTGTGGGCCTGCAGGGACTTCCGTAAGTCCGGCTCTTTGCTGATGACACGGCCTGGATGCAAACCATTTCTCTGAGCAGCAATGAACTCTTTCCCACTCCCCAGAGAGGCGGGACGAGGACGATTGTTACGTAGCTGACTGGGGCTCTGATCCCCTCCCGCCTTGTTGGATTCTTGGCTCGCCATATAGCTGCTTAGGCCAGGTAAAGAACGCTCCAGGGAGGCGGATTTGAAGGCTTTTGGTGGGGTTAGATGCTTTACCAGGGCAGGAGGGGTACGAGGGGGCGTGTTGACAGCAGAGAGTATATTATCCGACGGAGGAGGCTCGAGTGAATCACTGAAAGCAGCAGGCACTAGGAGGACCTCAGCAGCTGTAGAAGGAGCTGCTGTCGGCTCAGCTGCAGGAGACTGGAGAGGAGCGGAGGCAGGAGGTGGGCTGTGGACTCGGATGTAAGATGGAGTCAAGGGTGGTGTATTTGGAGCTGCTGAGCTGCTTGGAGAAGGAGGAGCTGCCCATGACTTTCTGGTTCTGGGAGAAAGTGAAGGACTCTGGGCAGGGCCTGAATCTGCCTCAGCAGGCAGCAGGCCGAGCTTCCGTAGGGCTTCAATGCGGACCCTCTGGGGGTCGGACAAATGCCAGTCACTGCTAGTGGACACCGAAGCTCCAGAGCTGCCGTCATAGCCAGTTTTGTGTGATTTGAGAATAATGTTGGAAGGAAGCTTCTTGGGCCTAGGGGCCACAGCAGGGGGACTTCTGGGCTCAGCGGCCTCAGCGGGAGGACTTAACGGGGGAGGACTTAACGGGGGAAGACTTAACGAGGGAAGACTTAACGGGGGAAGACTTGACGGGGGAAGACTTGACGGGGGAAGACTTGACGGGGGAAGACTTAACGGGGGAAGACTTAACGGGGGAAGACTTAACGGGGGAAGACTTGACGGGGGAAGACTTGACGGGGGAAGACTTAACGGGGGAAGACTTGACGGGGGAAGACTTAACGGGGGAAGACTTAACGGGGGACCCGAGCTGACGGCTGGTAGACTCAGCTCTGGAGGACTGTTTGGAGGCTCCTTGTTCACAGGCGACCTCTGTGAAGACCTCTTCTCAGTGGATCTTCGACGTAGCGCCTCCAAGTCAACAGTTCCTCCTGGCTGGTGGTTGTGTATTCCTGCAGGTGGAGGAAGGTAGTTCACTTTCTGTGGCTGTGGAGGCTTAAAGGGCTCATCCATGAAGGCTGAGGGAGGAGGGATCACACCCACATCTGTCTCAGGGGCCCCAGTGGACGGACCGCGGGAAAGACTGTCACTTGGGACAATCTTTAGTGTACCATCCTCATCCGTGGATATGCACAACTCACTGTGAATGTTGCCATCGGTGACTGATTCTGTGTCTGGAGGGTTGAGTTGAGTGATGAGGTTCATGGATGTGTTCAGATCTTTCCTGTCGAATGCAGGAGAGGACGCTGGTTCTGGAGTTTGTAAAATGTGATGCCCCGCTTTGTCTCCGTTGGTTAAAGCTCCTCCAGACTCATCAGTGTTGAAACTGGAAATGTCTAAGTAAGAAACACACACATACTGCAGTTATTGATTGTAATTCAGTGTTCACATTATATTTCATTTAGCTGACGCTTTTATCCAAAGCAACTTACAGTGTAATCAAACATCAAGATACAAACAAATTATTACAAAATTAGCAAGTTCATTAGCTTTCAATTTACATTTTGTCCAAATATTGTTTTTTTCTTGATATGAACATACCATTTACTCTCATGTGACTTGTTTTATCTGCCTGTAATCCAGCTTCTGGTTCATCGTTTGAAAAGCCGCTGTCCTCCTGCACCTCCAACGCTTCAATTGTCTCCTCCAGATACATGATACACGCTCTTTCTTCTGCTGTTAAGTGCTCCATACTGTCTTCACTCTGCAGACAAAATAAACGCATTTAAACTCTGAGCAGTTTCTCAAATCTTCAGCAACCTCTGCCCTCCCTTCAACCCTTACCACCGCCATGAGAGACAGGACAGGAACAAAAGGTCAAAGTGGTTTAGTGGTCAAGCTGCTGCAGAGGGATGACTAATTGCACCACTTTTGTCCTGTTCTGTACTTGGTCATCTTTTGTTTCATATTGGCCTGTCAGGGGAATTCATTTCAGGTGACAGTAGGTGCTTGTGAACGGCATTAAAAAAAAACTCCCGTCTAGGCATCTAGAGAGAAACTCTCACTGACACCCTGCCTGAACCAACATGAGTGTACATCACCTCCAAAACATTAACTTCCTCTTGTTTGACCTTCTCATAGATACTGTAATAAACCATGCAGAAGTTATTAGAGCCTGATGCACAATTTAATGTTGCTGTGTAATACATTAAAGGTGGGGTAGGTAAGTTTGAGAAACCGGCTCGAGATACACTTTTAGTTATATTCCATGGAATGCTCTTAACATCCAGATAGCAATGAATATCTTAAGTGCTTAGACAAAAAAATCCATAACGAAATGTCATCTGTGGAAGCCGTAGTACTGTAAAAAGCACGACCAATCATCTGAGCCGGCCCGGCTAAAATAACTGGATGGCCTACCTGCCTGTCAGCCTTCCATCTGTGCACAAACTTATCTCGTGCCCTCATTGGTCATGTGCGTGTTTGTGTGCGTTGGAGGAGGGGCTCTGTAAGGAAGTGGCAGATTTGTTCCAGTTGTGTATTTTCAAATTCTAGCGCACTCGAGTTGGTTTCTCCAAAATTACCTACCCCACCTTTAACTCTCTCCAATTCTATTAATATGATATATAAATATATACATAGACATCTCTAAGCAGTTGACAAATCATTACAAAGCTGGCCAGCTAATCAATCAGAGCAGTCTGGGCTCTGGTTTCAGAAAGAGGGTGAAAAGAGGTGCTGCAGCAGGCAGTATGAGATCATTAAAGACATGTAATGACCATTACGGCATTTGAACATGTCACAGTAGAGGCACAAAATACAAATATTAGCCTTAAATAAGCACAATAGGGCCCTTTAATGTCTTGGCACCCGACTCTCAAGTTTTGTACAGCTTTTTCTGGGTGTACTGCGCCACATTTTTCCATTATGTCTGATGATTGTACTTGTATTTTTAAACTGTTTGAACAAATTAATTGAAAAAAGTCCCAGTTCCTTATTTCACCACTCCAATAAATTGCAGAAGCTTGTATAAATGTAATGTTTATTCAGATGGACGAGAGGAGACGTGTCGCAGTAAAGTGTGTCCATGTGTTACACAAAGAGCAGATAAGAGACAAGGTCATTGGGACAGAAGGCTGGGATGAGATGTACTGCAGAACTCACATAGCCAGAGTTCATGCTGATTACACTGTCGCGGCTCCCAGCACTGTCTAAATTACTCGAGGGTTCCATGGCAACGCCGCCTGGCCAAGTGTCACTCTTCGGCATGGCATGAGGAAGAGGACGAGGACGAGGGCGGTACCTGGGTCTCACAGTCCCCTTGTGACCGGTAACTTTCACAGAGACTCAGGCTGAGGTAGAATCTGAAAAGTAAAGGAGAACATTTAAGAATGGGACAAAATGATGAAATGTGTGTGTTACCGCTGTCCCTTCTTTATAATTATTCAAATACCAATACTGACGTCCTACAGCTGGTAAAGATGAGATAAAGCTTTAATCATTCACAAAATTGGTTTGCAAACATCCAAGCAACAACTATTAATGTCAATTTTTCCATTAGCGATATAAATGAAGGCCACAAATTACAACTGATAGCTACATTATCCTCATAATGTAATGGCTCTTGTAGTTAAGATGTTAAATGTGCTCTCACTGTCACTGAGATATATTAAACATAACTAGCTATGTGCAATTGCTTCATTATTTAAATGAATGAATAAACTAGTTATTATTTTTGATAAATTAGACATTATTGTTCTTTTAGGATGGGCTCACAATTTTTCCCATCTGTCTTTGGATAATGGTCAGGTAATCATATTGGCAATAAAGCTTGTTTTATTGCCGTTATCGTTCATGTTCAGATGGGCCAGTAAAAGAAGATTTCCTAATGAGCTTTCAATGTAAGTGACGGGAGACATCCAAAGTCTTCGTTTCTGCAAAAAGGGATTTCAAAACGTTTCTGAAGCTCATGTGATGCTTCAACTGTCTGTTCAGATACTTTCTAAAGTGTTCGACTTCTGGTACGAGGTTCCCTTGTTATTCAGTATTGAGCTATAGTGGAGGGATGGTAAACAGACTAAAGTGATTTGAAAGGGAACAAAGACTTGTAATGGTTTATTATATTAACATCTGTAGTGAGAATTGTTTGCGAAAAGATTGCAGCGACAGATAGTACAAAGAAGAATGTCGGCATTTTAGCTTTCAGGTTATGCGGCGATGCTTTAAGTGGTTTGTTAATAAGAATTCCAGTCACGATGATTCAGCCATGAAGCGAGACGTCTCATCTTTGTTCGTGCATGAGCATGATGTGCTTCACATCATGTACAATCTGAATAGACAGTTGATCTGCAGTCTTATGTTACATAACATTACATGTATTTCCTGCATATTACCTTGTGTATATTACCATTAACAGCTCAGGAATGAGGAAAGTGTGCCAGCCAAAATAAGTAGAGCGATTATTACATCTACTTATACAGTACAATACTAGGAAAAAGATTTTCCAAAGCCTCAATAATGGAGGGCATAATTAGAAACACATAGGGGAGTAAATGAATTAATAAGGCAATAAAGACGAGGCCACATGAAGCAAAGTTCTTCACTTTCCATTAGAAGGGCTTAACGTGCACTAGCAAGTCTGGGAAGCACTTACATCCAACAATGTATCATGATTGACTCACAAAGGGATAATATTTATTTAACTTGGGTTATGGCTCTTCAGTGGATTTGTGTCTAAATAGGTCACACAGATGTATAATAGTGACAAAGGCTTTACAACCTGTAATATGGCTTACTCATCACGTAGGCCTAGCTGCACAATCAGGTTCAGGTGTGTTCGTGGAAACAGAGCAAAGCCAACGGCATTGTTCTCTTATCTCAGAGAACATATGATTGAACGAATAAGAGTAAGGAAATTAAGTGTTGACCGTTATGAGTCAATGTTGGTTTTAGTCCCAAAAACGGCATAAAGGTCATGATACTGCATGAAGGCTGGCAGTTATCATAGTTTTATGATTTGGCATGAGTTTCCATTAACGCACCTTACCCATACACAATATGTCTGCTCTGCCAAATTTAAATAATTTGTGATGCAAGAAATGCTTCAAGGAAAATAGGAGCCGCTTCTGGTAGGGCTGCTCAATTAATCGTATTTTAAATCGCAATTATGATTTTAGCTTGCAACGATTATGTAAACAACATCATCGAAATAAAAGGATTATTTATTTTTATTTTTATTTATTTTTATTGGTTTTTCAGTTTAATTATACTTAAAGTTCAGGGTAATCAACTGTTCAAAACATACTGTTCAAATGTTTTTTTTCAATAAATGGATGTTTTCAAAGTAAATGGATCATCGTTTTTAATAATCGTGATATCAATTATTGACCCAAATAATCGAGATTATGATTTTTGTCATAATCGAGCAGCCCTAGCTTCAGGGATGTTTCTTGTAACGGCATTTTATGACAGCAGCCTAAAAAAGATGAATGATTAATGACTGAGATCCCTTCCGTGCTACAACGAGAATAGTGAATCCTCAGTATTTATCTTCAGTACTTTGCGTTTCAGTTTTAAAATCAATATGTTATCTATGGTATGACGATAGGACTTTAAAAGAGGCTTAAGTAAAATACAAATATATAGAAAATGTAACTGGTTAATGATTAAAACACTTGGATTTGGACTCAAATATTTGTGTTTTCTAAAAAGATACAATACAATTCCCCTTTGACCCTGACTTTGTTTGAACTAAGGATATACCATAGAGAGAAAATGTATACAGGGTAGAATTGATTAATTTGTATTATGGTCTCATTTTAATAACACATTTTTAACGTTTTGATTAATCCCTGAGCACAAGAGCGCATTTATAGAGAGACAGTACAACAGATATGACTTTTCTCTGACAAATGAAGGATTACAAAATGTAATGCAGGATGCTTCACTAGGATGAAAAATAAAAGTAAGCTTGAGAAAATACTTGAACTAATATTAACAAACTGATTTAGAAACTGGATCATAACAATACAAGTTTTAAAGCACAAGTTACAAGAAAGTTACTTGGTAAAAAATAGATATTGTTAGAGCCTGGTAGGAAGCCACTGATGAGCAATATCTTGTTGACATGAAGACATAGCAAAGGACAGTTGGGTTAAAACCTGATCACCAACACCCACATAACTAACTCGTGTTTTCTGGCAACAAAGGCTGGCTGACGAAGCATGAAGTGGCCTCTTAGTCAAAGCTTTAATAGGAGCCAATTATCGGTCCTCCCATCAGCTCATTCCGATCAGCAGAGCGAGGGAAGTGTCCGAGGCAGAGCAGCCAACACCTCATACCTGAACAACAAACCATAGTCACTGCACCCACAGTTGAGTCAGGATCTAATAGTGAAAGGAATGTCACCTTGCTAACTCCTACTTTAAATTAAACTGCTCTGATGTTACTGGGTGTTCTACTTGAATTATAACTCAGCATATAACAAAACTATAAACTATAAAAGGGGGAGGATCAGCTACATGTATTTTAAATGTTTACTGTGAGAACAGTTTCAGCTTCCCAGGCTTAACTACAATCCAAGGAATCGTTATCTACACTTTATGAGAATACATTATAGTAATTGTACCAAAAAAAGTATTTAAAAGGATCCAAAAATGTGAAGTATGTGTTCAAGGGCAGCCTCGGAGCTGGTTTAATGATTGTCAGTAAACACAAGTTCATGGTGAACATCAGCAGGTTGTGTAACTCTCTACCCGCTCGAGTGAACACAATTTTCTTCATTAATGTTTAGCTTGGCACATGTTCCACTGAATTCTGTGTTATTGACATTTATCTTCAAATATTTGCACTTTGACTCAACCTATAACCATTAAGCCAACTTATATTCAATGATGCCACATTAATGATCAATCTTTGAAAGGAGTAATAGGTTTTTAAGAGCATGAAAGGGATTAGCAATGTAGTATATTTATTGAATTATAGTGGGAATATTTCTTCATCACCCTCAACTTCCCTCCAACCCAAACTGCCTAGTGACAGATGATGAGCCTATTTGTGCAAAGAGTCCTGAAACCTCCTCAAATACAGTAAATAATCAAGTCAAAGCTTTATAAAATATAACTAGGGGTCTAAACGAATTGCACACTCATACCATGCTTTAAGGTTGATTATATTTTTGTAAAAGCACGTTTTCAAAAAAAAATATGCGAAGTACTCTTTCCTCATAACGCTGTCGTATGCATGAATAAAGCAGAACCAAAGATCGCACTCACTTCAAACAGAGGGATTTCTTGATAACTCACCAACGATGTAAAGAGAACAGATGTAAACCCGTACAGCTGTGTGTATAAAAAGAAACGAGCTGTGTTTAGTCCATGTCGGTGCACCTCAGTCCCCTCTGACAGCTGGAATGTTCTTGGAAGTAGAACTACACGAAGAGAAGACGGAACAGGTGGAGAAACCTGCAGCAGGTGAGCCAATTAGCTTCCGGACAGGTTGGTGTGGGCGGCCAATCAGCGAGCGTCTGATCGAGGAAGAGCCAATGGAATAGCAGCAGCCAATGGAAAGTATTTTTATTCTCCAAAGCATAAGTAGAAACATTTTATACTAAATATGAGAGTCAAAAAAATACGAGCCCAATGCTATGTATAACGTGTTTACTTTTTTTTTTTAACTTAACAATAAGCTTTTTGTTTTTGTTTGCATTTTGAAAAGTTAACTTCTTGTGACCTACTTATCAATTCAACAAGAACAGAAAGTGAAATTGTCTGTACTGAGACAAAGATATGCTTTGAGCTATATATTATTAGCAGCCTGCTAACACTCATGATAATGATGGAAGCATGTTTCTGTTCATCAATTATAATGCAGTTAGTTTTGAAAGAGCAGTATTTTGTCACAAGTTGCATTTATCAAAGCGTTATTTTATCTTTGAAGGAAAACACATCTTGTTGACAGTTACATAAACCAAATACACAAACTAGGCCCTTGACTGTGCAAATCAGCGTTTGTTTTGCCTTTTTATGTTGTTATTGGTCAAGAACCTGAACATTTACGATAGCTTTGTGGATGGATGACCCTTTAGTAACAACATTTAACTGAATAATTAGATTACTATTGGATTCTTCATAACAATTTGATCTAATATAATCGTATTAATGCCTTGTAATAACACATCTATACATCTTATAGTTAATAAAATGACTATTTCTAAATCCATTCCCTTTATGGAAAGTTGCACAATGAAATTCTGTCCTGTTTATTCTTTTGTATCCTACAAATTCAAATCCCTCTTGCTTGTTTCCCCAGTTGTTCTCTTTGTTTACAGGGTACACGCTGTGAACAGTCTTGTGTTTGTGAACAAAGCAGGCCTGTCTGCAGATATCAGCCGCACAATCAGCACGCAGCGAGCCGATCTGTTTCCCAGGAACAGCTGTTTACATCTGTGACGTCTGTCGCATATCTATGAAAATGAGCAGATGTGTAAATCCATGTTCATATCTGCCAGAGGAACTATCATCTGTTCTGTTGATGTTTTTATGTTGGCCAACGAGGCAACATAACACAAATGTTTTCCAGACCAGTAGTCAAAACATTTTAACAAATAACGCAGCTTTAGGGTTCTGAGACGTGTGGCTGTTTGACGCAGGCTGCAGTTGTTGGTTTAATGCCATTTGATTTGATCTATAACATTGTAATTTGTAACCTGAAGATTAACACTTTTATAGATAATAAGGAACGTCTTTCCAGTTTTTCGATGAAATAACATCTTCCTGTTTCAGAGTCAAAGAGAGTATAAAGTGTTTCGGCCATCAGCCCCAGTACTGAATAACTACTGAATTTTGAACCAAAAAAAAGTTGTTTTAGACAAAATAACAGAAGTTTGCCTTTAGAATTGTTGGGCAACAGAAGGATACAAATATTTAAAAATAATAATGTCAATACGCAACCTGAGGGCAATTTTGAAAAAAATGTACTAAATACATATTAATTAAGCTAAACTAGTAAATAAACAACCCAAGAAATCAGAAAGGCAGAAGAACTAGGTGTTCAAAATTCGACCAAAAATAAAAACAATAATGCAAAACATTCCATGGTAACATAACACAAGATCAGTAATTGGACAAATAAAGATTCAGAAGTCAGCTTTTTCTAATTTCGCCATTTATTAGTTGTACAATTATGAAAAATAATCATAAAAAAGACTGGAAGCCCGAGATTATTTACAATCTTTTTTTTCTGAAGTGAGGTCCCTCTTCTGAGTCTTTGTTTTCTCAGCCTTTTTTTTTTCTTAAATCACAGGGTATTTATTCACGATATGTTTAACTTTATAAGACATAGTCCTTTTCTCTCTTTTGACAAACGTCAAAAATTACATACATACATATACACATATATATAGATATCTATAAAAGCAAAAATCATTCAAGTATCAAAATACAGACCGCTAGAACTCATTTACAATATCATTCTCATCATTGTTGTCATCAGATTAGTCCCGAAATATCTCTCCTGATCCTAAACAATGTGCAAAAGCAGAACGGGACCAGGCTGATGGCCGAAGGTGCCGACACCAGCGAGCTGAAGACAGTAGAGTACCATAGAGTTATCGTACTGGCCTGACAACGTACCACATATACAACAGTTAAATCAAGAAGGACCAGGCCATGTACCCATATATTTATCTGCTGAACAAAAAGTACGATTAACAGTCAACACACTGGGAGAGAGCTAGGAGAAACATGCTGTTCCCTATTGTTCTTTTCTGCATCTTAAAACTGAAGACATACCAGGCTGCATGGCAGGTTTGGTGATTAATCTTGTCTGGATTAACTGAACAAAGGAGCAGGGAAGGAGAGAGGGAGCAGCAGTGAACCACAGCCGATCCAGTTCCAGCATTAGGACATATTATAGTCCTCTAAAACAATTAAAACATACAGAAAAACGTTCAAATCATATAAAAGCCACCCCGTTATATTATTATTATAAAACAGTCTTTGTAGTGTCAGTTCCTCTGCCCTTTGAGTTTGGTTAGAGTTCCTCCCGTGCAAGATTACATTGTTTATCACAGTTATACATGTATGTGTGGATGACAGTCATAAAAAGACGCTACAATGTGTGGACAAATACAAATTACCCAGGAAGGACTGTGTTCCGTCAGAGTGAGGTGTCTGTCTGGTAGTTAGTACCTTTCTTTCACAACACAGGACAATGTTCCCGATCTCTGCCACTTCCCCTTTTACAACCAGTTCTGCATTGTGACATTGCAGCAGGTACATTTCCTCAAAGAGAGAACATCAACCCTCAATTAATCTCTCAGGTAATGCAAAAAGCAACACTAACATCTGACTCCATCACTTTCCGATTGAGATAAATGGTGTGTGAGAGAGTGTGTGTGTGTGTGTGTGTGTGTGTGTGTGTGTGTGTGTGTGTGTGTGTGTGTGTGTGTGTGTGTGTGTGATGAAGTCGGGGATGTCAGCTGATCTGCAGTGTTTACGTCTGTGTGTCTCCAGGCCGTGTGTTACAGTGCTGAGCTCGATTCCAAGTGGTGATGTGATTCTGCCGCATGGGGAGTGGGTCATTTTTCCACCAAAACATCCTACCCACAATGCAACAGGGCTCATGCCTGTCCTTTCTTATTGGCTGGGAGTGGCCACAGTGTTCAGCTATAAGGAAGAGGAAACATGAACACAAAGCAATGAGGTTAAATAAAGTAAAAATAAACAGCGTGTAGGTGATGGATTCCCCCCCCTCCTCCCATATAATGATTAACTCTTTTCACAAGCAGGCGTGAAATATTAACCAGGTAGTGATTGGCAAAACAAAAGGCAATGCTGACAGGATGAGCATAGAAGGCATTAGTTGTGAAAAGAAGAAGGAAAAAAAGAGGAGACGGAGAAGATGAACTTGTTCTTACACACTTGTAGATTTGGCAAAAGTGCTGAGTCATAGTAAGTCCTCTCCAGAAGCATTCGGTTTCAAACCTGGAGCTCTGATTGACGGACAGAGGCAGGGCATGCCTGTCTTAAGACAGTTGGGACTGTCTATTTCCTGGAGCAACAAGGAACACTTACATGCGGGTCCTTATCAGCTTTTATGCCCTATTCTGTTCCCCTTTTCCCCCCAAAATGCTACTATTCTTAGCTCTGAATGGACCTTATCACAGTGCTAGGATCTCGGCCTCCTTTGGCTTCAAGCAGACCGCTGACAGTGAAAATGTCCCCCATAGCAAATCCTGTGTAAGCTCCATAACATCAACACTCATAGAATTACACGACCGGTGTTTCAGTTTCTTCGGGAAACATGTCCCTCCAGGTACAGGGTGTGTGCAGGGGCTCACTCTGTGTCGTGGTGAAGCAGATTTGCTCAGCACTCGGAGAAGTCAGGAGTTGAAAGATCAGAGAGAAAAGCCTCAGAGCGGCCGTCGCCTAGTAGAGCAGGAAAAGCACCAATAAAAGAAGATCACCCAAGAGTCAAAAGTGGGATGTTGACGGGTGCAGAAATTCAGGGGGAGTTCGGGAAGCATACAGGGTTAAAACGGAGAGGAGTTACAGTGAAGGCGAGTGGCAGACAGGAAGTGTGAGTGACAGGAGCTACAGGAGGGTTGATACAGCAGAAGGGTAATAATCATTGAAAAGTGAAGAAGCGGTGGTGGATTAGCAGAAGGAGCAAAGCACGCAGACTGTGTCGGTGTTAGGTGAGTGTTGGCCGGAGGGAGACGGGAGACAGGGGGGGCAGGGGTCCAGCCCAGAGAGGGAGAGGCAGAGTCACAGCGAAAAGGCACACAGAACGAGGGGGAGGAAGAGGGGTTAGACCAGGCCCAGAGGTCAGGAGGAAGAGGGGTCCAATCAGAATATGGTGGTCTCGTACTTAGTGCTGATAGTGCGCTTGGATTCCTTGGGGTCCACGAGCCACGTGGCGCTGCCCTGGGAGTGAGAATCCCCCTCCTGCTCTGCGATGTCCCCCTGTAGACACAAAGAGAATGCACCAAATCTCAACAGCTGCAGAAATTAAGTAAATCACTTAAATATATGTTTGGCCAGTGGCATTCGGACTAGATCACGGCGTCAAAATCAGTTTGAATGATGCCTGCAGATTTACCCTCGTCTGGAATACACTCTAATATAATGCATTCAGCGCCGTTGTCAATTATGTCTGTAGAGTCAATCTAAAACCTTTTTCATTAGTCTATTTTATAGAATTTGTAATGATTTTCATACAAGTTCCTTTACTTGAACTGAAATAACTTTGGCACATTAACTATCCACTGAGGAACTGAATGGGCTCCTCTGTCTCAGTAAATGTTCTGCATGTGTTACTAGCACAAAGCCACTAGAGGACGCCAGAGTCAAAAGTAACATTCATCAGTCCACATGTGGCCAAGTGTGGAAAAGACCAACACATTTATTTATTTTAAAAACTACACTTCGACATACAATAACAGCAACAAACATTCACAAAGACAAGCATGGGGTAAAGACACAAATGGAAGATACTGGGGGATTGTAAGGCAGCGAGAAGGTGAAATAAAGTAGGGAGGTAGAGAGAGAGGAGCAAAGAGCGAGAGGATGGAGATGAGGCAGCACCTGGGCGGCAGGGCTGGCATAGTGCAGCGGGGCGTAGGAGGGGCAATGGGTGGTGCAGGTGTGACAGTAACAGCAGCGACTGTCCAGAGGAGGAGAGTCCTGGGAGAGATCAACACGGCCAGCAAGAGAGCGGAGAGGAAGAAGGAAAGACAAGCAGCACAGACAGGAAGTGAGAATAAAAAGGGTGTGACAGATTTGAGCAGCACGAGACAGAAGCAGATCAACTGGGAGGCTTACAGGTGTGGGTGTGTCACTGAGGGAGTGTGAGGCATTTATACAAATACAAAAGGTGAGGGGAATCACAGGAGTCAGTAAACTTTCTTAACATGATTCTGTCGACTTCATTAAGCAGCTGGAGATGTGCGATGTTTATCTCATTTAAATTCAGCACAAGCTTCACTTCTTAATGGTTTTATGCTAATGGGAAGAAAGTCATCGGAACAGTGTAATCATAATGAAGGGAGAAGCTGTTGACTGATACAAATGTTTTACTAATGTGTTTTGAGGGTTCGTTTCAAAAAGCCTGGAATAATGTTTCTTAAAAAATGATCAGAAGTCTGTTATGTAGGATATGCTGCAGTTGACCATAGAGGAAAAATATTTCTGGCACAACTTGACCTAATTTTGCCCGGAGAAGAAAAAAAGCTCCAACAACATTTGCAGTACACAATAAAGTTGTTCTTCATACTTTAATAAGTGTTGCTTGAGTTTTGACCTCCTGCTGCTTGAGTCTATCATTAGAAAACACAGCAGGTGTTCTTTTTCTCTATGGATATTGAATTTGGCTGATTTTTAAAAGTATGATACTGCAGACCCCCTATAGATAAAATTGAGATGACTGCACCCCTCAACTCTCCTCCCACATTTGCACCATGCGTTCTACACAGAGCCTGAAATCACTGCCAAATGAACAGGAAAGGTGCATTTAAGGGTCAGACAAATATACTTCCACCACAGGAGGACAACTTAAATGTGTTGCTCTATTTAATCATGTCCAATAAACTATCTCCTAAAATGTTTATATGGTGTCTTGTGCTATATTAATGTTCAAGGTCCACTTACTCCCGACTTCCGTGCGTTGCCTCGTGGTTTTGGTACAGGTCGGCTGGACTTGGTCTCGATGAGCTCTGAGCCGGGGCCCACGGGGAGGCTCTGGGGCTGTTTGGTCCTCTGGGCCTGCAGAGCCAGCTGATAGGCCACCTCGAACGCCTGGCCCAGCGTCAGGATGATCTCATAGGTCAGATTCTACACAGAGAGGGAGAAAGAGGAAAAGCAGGCAGCCTTTTTAGGTATTCTCGGCTTTGAACAACAATATTTAGTTTGCAGTACGCATGAAGTACATATTCCATAAAACGTCTTTGTAACAAGGAGAAGTGGCTTTAATCTCGGGAGCATTGTGACACAGCAAACTATTGTTAAACACTGACAGCTTCCAAGTGTGATCAAGCACCTCAGACTTCAGACGGGGCATTCAAGCTTCACACGGCATACCTTGGAAAGTTGGATAAGCAATCATGGTAGGAACACAGACACAAAAGGGACGCAGAGTTACGCAATAATCTGCATATTGTTATTCAACTTGTTTAGTTAATGTCCTGATTCATCTCGTGCCTTCTGCACCAGACAGATGTGTTCAGCTCTGTGATCCCTCTCTGGGGATGGTAGCAGCAGAATGGGCAAAAATTGATGCAACTAACAATTATTTATTTTCTTAATGAATAAGTTGTTTGGTCTATAACATGTCAGAAAATACTGAGGTGATGTCTTCAAATGTTGTTTTGTCTGTCCAAAACGCCAAGATATTTAGTTTAATATGATTTAAAACACAGTAAAGATAGAAATCTCCATCATTGAAATGGCTGAACGTTCTTGCTTTTTGCATTAGAAGCCACTTAGGCTTTCAATCAACTCTCAAAGATCAACTTATCGATTACGTTGTCTAATTGTTGCAGCTCTCTGGTCAATACAGTTTAGAATAACCAATCACCTCTCACAGCAGCTGCTATCCGACTGCATTACTGCTTGAGACAAAGCCCCTCGTTTAAGCCCCGAAGAGGAAAATGAGCCTAGTTTAACTGACTTCAGCCTGGAAAGCCCCTTGGTGCATTATGGGAAAGATTAGCAGGATAATCATCCGGTGTCAGGGGGGACAGAGTACTTTAAGGAGGGACAGTCATCATGGCCAGAGTAGCACTGTGTCTACTAGAAGGCAATCCGCAGCAGCTGAAGCGAGACACCTTGAGAAAATTCAGTCTCCAGATAACAGTGTTGACGATGCGCGCTGTCACTTCTCCTCAGTTCAAGTCTGGGGCATGATGTTGGAGGAATTCAAATTCACCAGTGAGGACGTTTTTTCAACACTTGAAATTCTCCTTTTATTATTTTCACCTTGTTTATGTTACAAGGGTCGCAGCAGTTTTCCCTCTGGGCCACCCACACAAAACAATCTAGATTGGTTAACAGCACTACAGGTAGAAGTATAATGTGTATGCTTTGATATCGGGGTCACTTTAAACTATGTGAGATTAGGCTGATAGGACAATAAGAGCATCCTTACCACGTCGACTGTGCTGAACACATGGCAGTAGTGGTGGTTGGTCTGCAGGTCCTTGGTGATGTAGGCAAACGTGCACAAGTCCTCAGGGTCCTGGGCTGCACATGAAATATTCCGGATCTCATGCTCTGCGATGATGTTCTGCACCGAGGAGAGAGTTGGCATAAGACTCACTCTATAAAAACTTCATATTACATTACATGTTACATGTTAGACGCTTTCATCCAAAGCGACTTACATACTCAATACTGTGGGCAATCCCCACAGGAGCTATTTGGGGTGAAGTGTCTTGCCCAGGGACACAACGACATGCTGACTGCAGTGGGGTTTTGAACCTGTGACCCCCTGATCCTAACACCAACGCTCTATCCACTGCGCCACACGCCTCCCAGACACAGAACATAACATCCCAATATGCAGGAAAGTGTAAGCATACACATTCAAAATCAGGCTGTGCTTCTAAAACAACCTTTCGATGTTCAAATAAATGTCAATACAAGCACACTTGCTTCCAGTCAAACAGGAACACATGTGACCTAAACTTGCAGGCATGACATTTAAAGCCACAGAAAAGAAGCAGAGGGACTTACGGCTGTGACACTCAAAATATTACAAAAAATGCTTGCTATTTGCACGAGGCATGAAGGTATTGAGTTTTGCTGCACTGAGCAGGATGGGATGTAGTAGTTACCTTATTGGCTGCATCAATGAACTTCACACCCTTATAAGTGATGGACAGGACGATGGTGGGGACTTTTCTCATTTGTTCTGTCGACCTCTGGAGGAAAAAAGGACGTATAAAGAGTGGACATTAAGGTGAATTACTGCTCACTCACTCGTAAAGAAATATGCATTGTTTGTCACATGAGCTTGGAGAAGTAATTTACCCTCATTTTGGCACAGGCATCCTGCGTGGACTCTGTACCCCGTAGCTCCTTAATAAGCATGGAGCCGAGGTACTGCAAGGGAGAATGAGAGAGAGAAAAGGTTGGTGACTATATTGAATAAAAACGGCATCATATAGGAAGGACAATGAGTGATATACATACACTGGCTTCGTAAGCGCAGGACTCAAAGATGAGTTTCTCAGGTTGGTGGTGCCAGTTCTGCACCGGGGCGTACGGGGTGGCCAGGCTCGGCGGCCGCAGGGTCAGACGGGGCTCTCGAAGCCGCTCATCATACCGATCCTGGAAGAAGGAAGTATAATTATAAGTCGGGCAGTGGCCCACTTTTATCACGACATGAAGATACTGTAGGACATAAAGTAGTGCTGAAGGGAAAGACGTAAACATACATGTGATCGGTGTCGATCGCTCTGATATCTTTGGGAGTCGTAGTCACTTTCTGGCACTTTTTTCCTCCCAGGCTCTCCTACAGGCAGCAGAGGGTCCATCGAGCGTCCTGTGTAGGGGTCCGCCTGACTGAGGGGGGAGGAGGATCCGGGCAGGTCTTGGCACTGGAGAGACAGAATCCGACACCATTAGTTGTCCCATGATCAACAGTGATGGTCATTTTTCCTAAAACACATGCTTTGCAAGATTCCTAGACTTAAAGCAAACCAAGTCTGGGAGGAAGGTAAACCATTAAACTGTAATTTAACCTTTAGAAAGTTGTTGGTAAAACAGTGTGGGGGGTCTTACCCTGATCTGAGACAAACGGGGAGGCTTGACTGGAGGTTCCTCGTACGGCCTCTCCGCTAACGAAGCAATGATGCGTTTTCTGTGACCAAGTAGGGAGATCTTTAGCACCTAGAGGACAGAGGACAATATCATGTGACCATGAAAGTTGGAAGAAGACCAAGACACATCTGACACTGATAATAAACTCGTCATAAAACACATTAACCCTTAAATCCAAACCTAAATGTGTTTTTTTTTTAATAACTTTCACTAATGCATCCTTGTTTACAGCTTAGAAAATTAACTAGTGAAAATGAAGTTCCGTCTCTAAAAAATAGGCATTCATTCGTCATGGGACTACCTTCAATATTACTGATTTATATTTAGGATCCTTGTAAACTTCACCAAACAGCAACATTCTGTGTATTCAAATCCAGATTTTCAGTTTCCTGCCGCCCCAAACTAAAACGTAAACTGCCCAACTCATCCCTTCTCTGAAGTTTCCCTAAAACTAATTTCCCCCTCTGATACTCCTCGCAGTCTGCGTGCGTCACTGTGACTCACATTGACGATCTCCAGCTCCCACAGGTTTTTGACACAGTCCAGAGTGCGGTAGCCGCTGGTCAGGAAGTTGTGTAAGTACTCGTGCAGACCCATGTTCTCCAGCCAGGAGGAGATGGAGCCGCTGCCGTCACAGCCCAGAGCTTTCACCTGCAGGACAACCACACAGTCACTAATGCTGCTTTTTAACATATTTAACAGTCCTGCTTTTACAGTCCAAATAAGTAGAATTACAGATTTATTATCAACTAAAACGTACTTTAAGTATCAAAAGTAAGGTATGTTAAGATGTGTTTTAACTTAATTCATTATTAGTTTTGTAGTATTGATGCATCAAGGTATCATTTTATTGTTGTGGCTGGTATAGGTGAAGTGACAATAGTTTATCTCAGTGATTCTCAAATGAGGGTACGCGGACCCCTGGGGGTACGTTGGGGTACTGTAGGGGGTACGTGAGATTTCAACAACAAAAAAAAGGTTAATTAAAAAAATACCATGCATGATTACAAAAATAATCTTAGTAAAATAAGTTAAATAGAAAACACAATTTTATATAAAATATTCCTAAAACCACCAAGGGGGTCCTCATATAAACATGCCAAATGTGTGTATTGTATTTTATAGTTTTTCACAATATATCTTTTTGTTCATTGGTTTGTTAAACATATTACTTAAATTGAAAAACTTCTGGAAAAATCTGTTTCATAAAAATCTTATGTTATGTTATTTTTTTTCATGCATGAAGATGAAAATATCCTTAGTTTGTTGTAATGCATGCACGATGGAGTTAATAAATCACACACTGAGGGAACATGACTATACTGTAATTATTGATATAGGCTTTTTCGATCAAAAATGTTCGGGGTCGGTCAGGGCTTGTGAGAAAATGTTTCAAAGGGGGTACATTACTGAAAAAAGTTTGATTGATATGTAAGTGGGAGAATAAAGAAGAGGAAACGAAGATTTTGAATTCTCTTTCTTTAGAGAAATATTGGATAATTTCAATTATGTGGGACTTAAAAATACAGACAGTTATATTAATTAAAATAACAGAACGTTTTTAGGAGAAATTACTTTTTAGAGCAACTCTTGACAACCAATATAAATGAAATTGGAGACATGACGATGTTTTTGTGTAAGACATAACAATCAAGAGAAGTTAGAATCCATTGGTTTGAACCTTTAACAATGCGTGGTATTGTTTAAGCTCATTGTTTACTAACCAGTAATTATATATATAAATATAAATATAGAGTAGTAAAAAGTTGAATATTTCCTTGTCTGTAGCGGAGTAGAAGTATGATGTAACGTACAATGGAAATAGTTCTATAGGTGCAAGTTTCTCATAATTATACTAATGACAGTATTTGGGTAAATACACTGCGGTACTGCATTGGTATTCAGGCGAGATTAGCACCTTGTGATAATCAGACACATGAGAATAAATCAGGTTGTGCAATGCTGGGATGAGTATTGAAGTTAAAATCAATGACTCCTCACTTTAGGTAATGACCGTGCCGCGTGCAGGATCTTCTTCCTGTGGCTCGGGTCTGTGATCCCAATCTCTCTCAAGTCCTGGTCCTCCATCACATTGCTCCCCTATGAAAGAAAATACAAAACAAATCAGCATCTCTGTTACATTATATAAGCCTACATTTCTAAAGGATATCACTGGCACTGCGCTTGTATTAAAATAAGTATTGAACTGTGCAGTACATGCAAGAGAACACCAATTAAGGGATGTGTTTTAGTCAAAACGTATTGGAACGTATGGATAAATGCTTCAGAATAGCCAGTGCTGCAGTATTGATCACACATAATGCCACCATTGCAGAAAACGGTCAATTACTCCCTGGGACCCGACCTAGTGACTGTGGTAGGGGAGCCACATTGATAACCTCCTAAATGAGATGTATGTGTTAGGGGGAGGGGATTGACGGAGCTGTGTGTGAATAATGGTCCCCCCCATCTCTTGTTACACACTGTAGCACCTTTAAGACCGCGTGGCAGGTAACGGAGAAAGGAGCGATCAATCAGTGTCGGAAGAGCAGAGTGGTCAGCAATATGAGATGCAGAGGTAAAATGCCACAGCATCGATAGTTAACTGTAACTGATGGCCTCAGAGGGAACACAAAAATCAAAACATCCAGACGTGTGAAGGGAAAGCCTCCATTTCTGCAGAGAACACCGCTCATTAGTGCTGTCCTGTTAGCTCTGCTAGTGGTCAGAATAAATGAGTTCAAAAAAAATCATTACTACTCGGGTGATCAGTTAGGAGTCAGTGAGAGCTTTAAGTTAATCTTGGGTCAGCAAATAAATCTCATGTTAAAGTACCATGATGCTTTGAGGGAGATGCTGCCTCAGGAACAAACTGTGACAGCTCATGTGGCTGACTCTTCAATATCACACACACACACACACACACACACACACACACACACACACACTCTC